ACATACATGATCATTACTCATGAGCATGACATCCCCTCTTTCCAACTCCTCAAAGCTGGAGAACCAATCACTCCTAGAGCAAATATGGTATGTAGCACCCAAATCCAATATCCACTCCGTAGAGTCGGCATAGTAAACTGACGGTAGTGCTAGGCATGAGTAGCCTGAAGAATCTAAATCTGAATTGTCGCCACTAGCTTTGGCAACATTCACCTCTGAAGGTTGTACGACTTTCCCCTTAATCTTCCCAGCTCGATCTTTCAACTTTAGGCATTCAGTCTTCTAATGTACATCTTCTTTGCAAAAAGCACATTGATTCCAACTAACACTTCTATGCCCACGTCTCGGCTTTGACTTTGAGTGATTGAATTGACGGCGGTTTGGACTACGGCCTCTCACTGTCAATGCATCTCCTGATGCCTTCTCGAAGGGTTCACTATCACTCTTCCTCAACTCATAATTCACCAATGCTGAGGTCACCTCCTTGTAGCTGACAGTGGTTCTATCATTGATCATAGTAAGGACAAAAGTACTATAATCATCCTCTGACAATGAACACAATAACATCATTGCCTTGTCTTCATCCTCTACCATGATATCCACGTTGGCCATATCCGATAGAAATTTTGTGAAGTTATTAACATGCTCTCTAATGAAAACTCCCCTCTTCATCTTGAATTGGTAAAACCTCTTTTTCAAGTGAAGTCAATTCTTAATGTTCATCGTCAAATGCTTATCATTGAGTGTTTTCCACAACCGTTTCGCTGACGTCTCGTTCATCACATCATAGATCAAATCCGGCGTCAAGCATGAACTAATAATACCACATGCTCTGCTGTTATCCTTCTTCCAAACCTTCTCCTCCATATCAGCGGGTTTTTCTTGTAATTCAAGAGTCTCCTCCAAATTCTAAGCATCCAAAGCATCCATCACCTGAAACCTCCACAAACCGAAGTTTATCTTGCCATCAAACTTTTGAACATCAATTTATGTTATTGATGCTCAAACCATGTACCGTCTTCGAAAGAGACGACCCCGATGTACTTGTTTCACCCATGTTGATAACCTGATCTCTTCAAACGAGAATCCTGCAGAGAATGCTCAAAATGAGCCCCAAGCCAAACCCGAAGTTTTGATACTACTTGTGCGTAGTGGAATCTGACAAAGAACACAACCAAACCAAGATAGGATCACAACCAATAGGTAAACAAGAACCAAACTATGCAAGACATAAATTTTACGTGGTTCGGCAAATTGCCTACGTCCACAGGGCAAGGAGAGGATGATTTTTCACTATTAGAGAGAGAGAGAGAGGGAGTAAAAATAGAGATTACAAAATCACTCAAAACTCACAAATTAATCTCTCAAACAAAACTCTCAAATCTCTCACCAAATCTCCCAAATACACAGCTCAAAAGCCTCTTTAATTTGCCTTAAAGAAACCCTAAAAAACATGTTCCTATTTATATCAAATACAAAACCCAAACAGATCAGGAAACCAAGCTCAGGCCCATACCCGAGTCGTGGTCGACCACACTTGACACCGCGATCGACCAGACAGAACGATAGAAACTCAAAAGTCGATTACAGGGTCCGCGGTCAACCTCACTTGACGCCGCGGTCGAGCGGCTAGAAATCTAAAAATGCACCCTGTAGTGTTCACGTTTCAAGTCGACCGCACATATTGCCACGGTCGACCGGACAACACCCTAGTGTCTCCTGCTTTGTTTTTTCCTAAACTTTTTCGCCGTTTTCACTGTTTCTACAGTGACATGAATACATTACACACAGGTCTCTTCAAATGAGGATAAATGAGTAGTATGTGAAGTACACAGTCGTCTACATTCTTGATTATTCAGATTAATTTGAGGCTTGCGTCCAAGAATAATTAAAAGCAATATTTGATGATTGTTTATTTGTTGGTGGTCAAAATGTTTTTTCTATTTATCCTTTTTAGAAGGTTAAGGTGAAGAAATGGAAAAGAAGGAAGCTTTTGACGTTGAAGTCAATAAATCATTCAAGCAATTAATGGATTATCTAATTTAGTTGACATATTTATTTGTTATCAAAATTTTACATATCTTATAGTTTAGATGGTATAATATACATTAAAAAATTACAGTACATACATATAAAGGTGTGAATTTGCACGTAATTTAATTAAAATAAAATAATTAATGCGTAATAATAGAAAGGCACCCTGTATTATAGTTGATATAGAGATAGTCCATTGCACTTCTATTCTTACGGATAAACGCCCTTACTATTTGTCAAATGTGGGTAGAGCTTGATTGAAACTTTTTACTATAGTTAATTACTCTCAAGAGTTATATTTGATAAATGATTAATTAATTCCCATCAATTAATAATAATTTGAGTCAGAGAAAATAGAAATATAGCGTAACGTATATATCAGTGCCCCTCTTGAAATTTACTTTCTTTGGTTGTTGAAATATCCATCGTGCTGTAAATATGGATGATACATATTGTCTGTCGACCGTTTATAAAGTATATATCATATTTATTTTTTAGACAAAAGAATTTCATCTTGTTTTTGTATAGCAGAAAACTGTTATTATTTTGAGATAAGAATTTAGGTTATAAACTATGGTTTTCCCTTGTTCCTAAAAGAACATACTACCTAAATAAGCAATCAAATTTTGCTGAGTAAAGTATAAAAATCAAAATTTGTTGATCGAACCTCCAATTTGATGAAATAAATACCTCGAGATTTAAAGGTGAGCATGGAGTCGTTCTAGATTAAAAACCAAGAGAAAGATAAATCCCCACAAAGATTCTCAAATTGATCTTCTTAACTGCAAATCCAAGCAAGTGAGTCAAGAATAAACCTCTCTACATAAAACCTACTGAGATTTTAATTGTACAGATCATTCCTGAGATTTTATTTCGTCCTGATTGATTGATGCTTGAGCCTTCACCGAACACGGGTCGTTTAAAAATTTTAATTTAAAAATCATAAGATGCTCCCAATCTCTCATCAAACCACCAACCAAAAACAAAAGATCTAGCCAATAAGCATAAACAAAAATCATTAATGACAGCCAAAATACAAAGCCTCCTCAAGATCTTCTCATCTCATTGCAATCCCATCGTGATCATGGAGGCGATGACGTCCGTTTGCGGCGATCGATGGTGTGATTTGGGTCGCGAGGCCTATCTTTTGCTCGTCTGCGGTCGGCATCATGAGGACTGTCGACGGCCCGACGAAAGTTCGCGAGTCACCGTCGGCGGAGGGGAGGGGGTAGCAACAAGAGGGACACATTGGAGATTGATATTTGCTTCTGATGGTTCTGGAGAATATATATATATATATATATATTATATATTATATATATATTATATATATATTAAATTAATATATATATATAATATATATATATATTTATTATATTATATATATATTATATATTATATATATTATATATATAATATATATATATATATATATATATTATATATATATATTAGGGGGGGATAATTTGGGGAGGATTGGGGGCGTATTAATTTATATGTAGAGAGAGAGCTGAGGGAAGCTTGGATGAGGAGCCTGCTAACGATGCCAGAGGGAGGAGAAGGTGGATTGTCTGAGTTGAGGTGGGAGAATGAGAAAATAAGAGGGGAGAGGAAGCGTCTGTGTTTGTGAAGGAGAGCGATATGACAACAGTGATTTGAATTTCAATTTTTTAGCAGAGATTGGAAATTCAAAATATGTTTCTTAATTCTTATTTCTGAGGGAAATATGTTAGTGAAAGTAAGCGGGCCCCACAATCAATTACTGTAGGATGAGTAGTGATTCTTGGATCCTCTCTTTTGTATAGAGGAATAGATTACCCTGAAACCTTGATTTTTTGAAGTCTCCCCTCAACCTCTCCTTTTCCCACTCCCCCTCTCCTCCTCTCTCGCCTCATCTCCTCCCTCTTCACCTTCACCTCATACTCCCTCTTCCTCCTCCATCATAATTTCCCCTCATTCCCTCCTCCACCTCAGAGATTCCCTCCTCCACCTCAGAGATGGAGTGAATGAGGTAGTTGAAGAGGGGAGTGGAGGAGAGGAGGGTGAGTGATAGGGGCAAAGGAGAGGGAGTAGAAGAGGGAGAGGAAGAGGGGAGAGGGAGAGAGATTGAGCAGAGAGATTATGTGTCTTTTGAAAAAAATCAAGACTTAGTGCGACTTTGTGAATATCGAAGATTTGAGGTGTGTAAATGCAAAAAATCTTAATTTGATTCTTAAATCTCATCACCGGCGATTGAATAGGCCTTATTCGCTAAGGGGCTGTTTGGTTCGCTATTATAAGGGGTGGAAAACTTAGAAAACCCCTCCACGTCAGATTTTTAGCCCTGCACGTCAGCTTTTTTGTTTCTGTCCATTTCTTTGTGCCGCTTTGGTTCGCTCGAATGGAAGAGGGAAAACTCTGCTGAAATCACCACCAACTAAGACTTTTTTCCCTCTCCGATTTCCTTCCCCAACCAAGTGAAATTGATAAAAACTTTGCCACGTCAGATTTTTTTCCTTCTCTGCTTTGTTTACAAAAGTTTTCCTTTTTTTTTTCTATGCGAACCAAACACAAGAAAAATAAATACATTGGTTTCCCACCATTTTTATGTACTAACCAAAGCAAAACAATCTATTTCTTGTAAAAGTTTGGAAAACTCAAAACTTGTGTTTCTTTACATGGAATTGCATTTCTCTATATCAAGGAAACGAACCAAACAACCCCTAAATGGAGTCAATTGAATACGCCTTGTACGCTAAACGGAGCCGCTTTTTATATCTGGTAATTTATCTTGAAATTACATGCGTACAGAGGGAACAATGTATAACCAGATGGTTATGCCTTGTTATCAAGGGAAAAGGATAACCGTATGGGTACAGAGAGAGGTGACACGAAAAGTTTACGCCATTAACAATAGACAGATTATCTTGAAATTACATGTCCTATCACGAAATAACCATAACTAGATGGGTACAAAGGGAACAATGTACATCAAACCAGAAGCATAAAACTAGAGATGCACTTGCAACACCGGATGTTGTTTGCTAAACCTTTTCCATCTATTCTAAGTAGATACAACACCAAACCAAATACAAAAAATTAATACATCAACCACACGCTGAAGAGAGCAAGCTATCTTTTGTATAGACTCCATGTACATTTGAACCTCTTAACTTTGCCTATACACTAAACATCACCAGCCGCAGTGTTGAAAGTTGGATACATGTTAATTAGAAGATGAGACACAAGCTTAAACAGACAATATTTAGTTCATCACACACAATCGTTGCCCTTAAGAATGTTGTACTTGCAAAGAGGGCAGGTAGCATTGATCCGCAACCATTTCACGATGCATGAAGAATGAAAATGATGGTTGCAGGGAAGTGAATGGAGTTCCACACCATTTTCGTACGGTGTGATGCAAATACAGCATTCCTGAAAATTAGTCATGATAAAAAATCAAAGTAGTTGTTCTGAAATAGCTTTCAACTTTAACTAGTGAGTTCAAAATATGTTAACTCTGAAAAACTGTGGTATTAATGCATCCAATAATGTTATGAATTGCCTATCATTATTCCGCAAGAACCCCCAGAGTACATACAACTTGAACAACTTTGCAATATATGGAATTTCAACATGCACAATTATCGAGGACGGAAAATGCTTAGAAACTTTTAACATGCTCTTTCACCTATTTATTACATAAATATTTCAAGGGGATAGTTATGATAACCTTGAAGCCTTGGAGGTTTCATAAGTTGCATCAGCTTAATGTGCATTGTGCAAAACCAATATGGTAGGCTTCCTACCCATAAATTTCTTGCTAACTTTTCATGGTATGACCCGCTCTTGTTCATCACCTTATTTTAGCTATTAATTTTAGACCGATAAATAAGGCTGAAGTTATGGTGACATATTGTTGTGAATGAAATATGATGGTGGGGATTTCTTTTTTTAGTAACAAAAGAAATTTAGGTAACTTTGCGACAACGTATATTTCTATTGTTCAGCAACACAATATATGCATATATCTGACCTAAGATGCAAAGTGTCTATTTGGTAACCTGCAATTGTAGTTGCAAATCCAACTATTACTTGCATGCAACTAAACTGTTCCAACTGTTATTACATGCAATTGCAGCTGCACAGTTTAGTTCAATTTTAAAATTTCGCAACTTGCAGTTGTAAATGAAGTTGTAGCTGTTTGATTCAAACTTCCTATAACTTTTAATAAATTAAAACAAATTACATGAAGTTCTTACAGAATACAAGGATAGTTGTAATTCCATTCCAGCAAAAAAAATCAAAGCAATTACAATAATTAACTACTAAATTAAATTAACTGTGTAATTATATCGATGAAGTTCATTTAATTATGTAATCATAATATCTAAAATGAATAAAGAAAAGATCAAGGAAATAAAATGTTAATTACAGGAAAATTTTCGTTACTTGAACTTCTTTTCTCTTGGTCTTTTCATATTTAAAAAAATAATTTTTTGGGATAATTTTGTAGTTTCGTAATTTTTTTGGTAAATTGTTCCATTATTTAAATATTTTTAGTTATTTTGTGATTTTTTGGAAAGGTTCATGATCTTTATACTAGCATATCCGCACATGCACAATGTACTTCCAAAAAAATAAAATAAATTACAAAAAGGAATTTGTATATGAGTACTTCTAGTCGGTTTCTATTATAAAAAATAAAAGGTTATATATTTTAAGGATTGATATTCAAAAAGGAATGAGACTCCATCAAAATTTTACAATAATATCATTTTTAATTTATTTTTATTATTATTACATTGCCTACTAATAAAGTCTATAAGGTTATGTTGTACGTGATTTAAAAGAGAAAAGGAAACAAAGAGAAAGAAACTCATAATGGACTAGCAATTTACTTCCATTCAGACTGAGCAGTGTTCTAAAACACAGGCTACCCGTCCGATTAATCGGCCGAGTACTCGTACTTGAGATCAAACTATGTTGGTATGCATTACCCGCTCGATTATGTGGTCAAACGCATAATCAGGCTGTTGACCGGTACATGCCCACATAGTTACATAATGTGGGCAGGTGATATACCCACCCAACAAGTATCTTTAATTAGAGAGCATTTGGATATGATGCTGTTTTTAGTTTTCCATGATGTTTTTGCCCATGTGTTTGAAAACCATGGTCTCTTTGTTAGGCTACAATATCAAGCACTAAAAACACAACACTTACTTCACAACACCAAAAACGTGTTTCAAGTTTGGTGTTTGTGTTTTGAGTTTAAAGGGTGTTAATCTAATGTCCAATATAGTGCATTAATAATATATTTAATATAATATATTCATTACATAATATAATATTAAATTACATTATGTAATATAGTTCATTATACTATTTAGTTTTCAAAGATATGAATACTATGTTTAATAGCATTAATTAATAATATTAAGAATTTTAACATGTTATGTAATAGTATTTAATAATAAAATAATAACTCCTCTGAAAAATAAAAAGATTAAATATAATTTATTTAGTAAATTCATAATATATTATATAATAAATAATAATATATTACATTTTAAAATAATAACAAAATAATTATATATTATAAGTAAATAGCTTATAACAAATATTAACATAATAATAATATCATAATATAATAACATTATACTATATTATAAAAATAAAATGTCATTACATTATTACTGAATGTAAATATATTAATAATAATAACATATTTATATAAAAATAAAGTAATATACTAATATTTGAAAATAATATATCATTAATATAATATAATATAATATATGTGGAAAAATGTATATGAACTGCAGCCCATTTTGCAAAATAGGTTGCCAAGCATACGCCCGTCCCCATATGCTAGTCACATCGATGTGGGGCTCACAAGACAGTGGGTCAGCTCAAAGTCAATTTTCCTTATGTATTACAAAAATGTACAATATATAACATTATGATCTATTAGTCATATAGAACGTTATAATATGTTAATTGGATATATAATATTATAATATATTAATTAAAATAGATCATATTATGATTAATATTTAATATATTAATAAAATGTTTAATACTAATGTTATAAAAGGTCAAACTATTGTTGATAAAAAACACTTACCATGGTGCTTTGAAAACACTTATGCAGAAAAACAACATGATGTTCTGAAAACACCACACAAATCACCATGTTATCCAAACATACCCTAAGTCGACCTAACATGTCTGTGATTTTAAAACTTGACCCGTTTCAATTTTAATATCCCCTTTGTTGTCCCGGTCCCAAACAAAACAACGGTTAAAAAAAACTCTAGACCCTTTCCCCCACCCACTCCTCTCACTCCTCCCTCCACCGCCTCTAACAGTCGATCGCTACCGGGAGTCGATGCCAATAGCATCTCTAATGCTTGCCGTTAAGAACTTTAATTTGACTAGCTTGGATTATTATTGTTAGTTTTTTGCTTGGTATGTTTTATATTTTTCATGAATTATTATATTTTATTATATGGGGTCTGTGCGCACACGTGTATTAAACTATTTCAAAAACGCATAATTTCACATAATTCAATTACTCGTTACCTGAGATCAGACCGTACACATAATGAAACCTTGTTTTAAAACCTTGCACCTGAGTTTGAGCACTTATTGTTGTTTCAATAAAATTTTGATTGGTAAAACATATATACAATAATAAAAATCTTCAGATATAGTATATTAATTGTCTATTTTATAATAACTAATCATATAAAAATTAAATATATCATTTAATAATCTTTATCAACTCTTATTATCAGTACACATTCTCACTAAAGCATTGAAATTTCTATTATACATATGCTAAAGTCAGAAAATAAACATTTGAATCTCTAACTTGAAAGAATTATTTACAATAGTATTTAAAGACAAAAATGTAAAAATTCTGGTAAGATTTTGGTTGAGCAATCATGTTAAACACATGAATAATGAGAAAGAGAAAGTGGCACTTATTGTTGTTTCAAAAAAATTTTGATTGGTAAAACATGTATACAATAAAAAAAATCTTCAGATGTAGTATATTAATTGTCTATTTTATAATAACTAACCATATAAAAATTAAATATATCATTTAATAATCTCTATCAACTCTAATTATCAGTAACATATTTTTGCGTAAAGCATTGAAAATTACTACTATACATGTGTTAAAGTCAGAGATAAACATTTGAATCACTAACTTAGTAACTTGGAAAAAAGTTATTTACAATAGTATTTAAAGATAAAAGATGTAAAATTTTTGGTAAGATCTTCGTTGAGCAATTATGTTAAACACATAAATAATGAGAAAGAGATAGTAGTAAAGATAGAGAGTGTGAGATAAGAGAAGTTGAGAGAAAGAGAGGTAAGAGGGGTGAAGTGTCAACTTTTAAGTTAAATTACTATTTTGCATTCAATAACTCTACGCGTCCTCCAATCATCCATTTTTGTTTTACCCTCACTATTGCAATTATATAGTAGTATAGATATTATTTACTTTTAAGACTTAAAAAAATAGATTATCTTGAAACATTTTAGAATGTCTTTAAGTTTTTTTCGGCTTTGCTAGAATTATGTTCGCAACTACTGAGTTTTTACTTGTTTTGGCTCCAAACTTGACGCAAGCTATAATTTGAGAGATATTTGCAACTATAGATGCAACTGTGACATTTAGTTGCAATGAAACAAACACTTGCAACCAGATAAAAATCACCTAATGCAACTACTCCGATTGTAGGTAGCAAACTACCCTAGTGTCAGATAGGTTAAGTAATGAGGACAAGAAATGGTAATTTTGATTAGTTGATATATTTTTGAATTTTAAATTTTGAAATTTAAAATTTGAATTTTAAATTTTAAATTTTGAATTTTAAAATTTGAATTTTAAAATTTAGTTTAATTTTAGTTAAGTGATTTGAGAGATTATTGTTTGTTTCTATTTTTATTGCACGTTGTGTGCACGTAGTTTTTTTTATAAATAAGGTTGTATGAGACTATTAAAAATCAATGAATTATTGAATGAAAAATTGCATTAGCTAAAAATCTGGTGTGAAGCCTTGGGTGTGAAACCAAGGCCTCGGGTGTGAAACCCTAGGTCGTTACATGTGTCCTCTTCCTCCAGTCGCCAAGCATTCCCTCGTCTTCCCCACGTCAACAATCAGTCAAATCCTCCTCTTCCCTGCAACCACCAGATCCACACTCAGCTCGCCCCTGATCTCCACCTCCGCACCACCAGCGCCATCATCTCCTCCCAAGCAGCCGCCCTACTCCCACTGTCACCGAGCCTCCTTTCGCAGCAACTGCCGCCTTCATGTACACAAACTGTTTGGCAAAATTCCCCACCACAGCAATACTACCACTGCCATTGCCGCTTACCACAAATCATCACATCGCTATCGTCCCATCGTCCTTAC